TTTTAAGAACTAACTTCTTTTAGAAATTTCTAGCAACCAAAATGACCCCAAGACTCTTGCCAATTTAACCAAAAGCTTTTAGTCAGAGATTGCTTTTTCTGTTTTCTACTCTGTTGGGTAAAGCCATAACATAGAAGCATTTGCACACATATTCTGTCATTCCGGACTCTCCAGACATTGGCTTTCATTCCTAGATACTGAACTTAGACAGGGAACATCCAGGGAATTATTGGACTGGGCCAACAATGACACAACTAATGTACACATCAACTCATAGCACCTTTAGTTACTTTCATAAGTGTTGCATAATATCAAGTCAGTTAGAGTTTCCACATGAATGGGAGAGTGGCCTCAGGCCCAGCCCCTGGTGGGAAGTTATTAACAGTGATGATTTCTGAGGGATGTTACTCCCTTTAGAGGCATGGCTGCTAACAGGTTATCCATGCCACAGATGATGGCTCCATACTCGTGAGCATATGGGTAAAACTAATTAGACTTGAAGATTATTATTGTTTTTCCAGAGCTGAGGACTGAACCCAGGGTCTTGTCCTTGCTAGGCAAGTGCTCTACCACTGAGCTAAATCCCCAACCCCAGACCTGAAGATTATTAATTAAAATAAAACAAGGACATGAAGTTGAGAAGGAGAAACAGTGGGGGGCACTAGGGAAGTTGAAGGGAGGTATTGATGGATATATTCAAAATACATAGGGCAATATAAAAAATTCCAAAGAACAAATTATATATAGAGAGAGAGACAGAGAGAGAGAGTATTCATGACTGTTACTCTTGTAAAACCAATTTAGGCAAAGCTAGGAGGTAAAAGTTCTAGTCTATAGTAACAGAAATGTGACCCAACTGTAGAATGAAACTTGAAGTCTATATGAACTTTTAGTTGAAAACAAGATAAAGTAAAATTGCCCAGGTCAGTAATAAGTAAGGACTTACTGTTAGACATATTTTGATTAAAAGTCTAAAGATTTGCAATATGCAAAACAAATCAATGTAGCAAGATTGTTATTTCTAGGTAGAGGGTATAAGCATGTGACAAACATGACCATGGACCCTCTGTAGGGCATTATCTGCCCTCACCAGTAATTTAACCAGAATCTCTCAGACCCTTCCCTAATCCAGGATTGCCTTAAATTCTAAAGAGTCTGATTTTTTCTTAAATTCATGTTAATTTATAAATATCTCAATATCTATCAACATTGCCTATCTGTGTTCTACCATGCTGAGTTCTTACTAAGGATATAAAGGGATAATCTTCTAATATAAGAGATAAAAATCTATATGAAGAAAGTAGCCATATCCTAGAACTTCTGAAAGTATCACTTCAGCCTTATGAACAATTTTGGTGAGCTTTGACATTGTGCCAGACAATGTGTCAGGTCCTAAGAATGCAAAGATAACATGACAAGGATATTGTACTACAGAGTGTCATCCATTCTTGCTGTAGAAGACAGATTTGAAAACAAAGAACGGTCTCAGAAGTCACAGTGCTACAAAAGATATGTGGAGACAGTACAAGAGTGGTCTTTGCAATAGCAAAAAGCAGCAGAATTTATTTTTAAAACAAATGCCTTCCAGAAGTCTTCCTTTGCAGATGAATGGTATAGCTACAGTTTTCCTGCCTTGCCCACAGTCAGGATAAATCTTTGTCACCCGCCAGTCCCACAGCCGCTCAGAAACAACCAAGTAAACACAGAGATATATTGCTTACAAACTATATGGCCATGGTAGGCTTCTTGCTAACTGTTCTTATAGCTTAAATTAATCCATTTCTATAAAACTATACGTTGCCACGTGGCTTGTGGATTACCTGCATCTTCACATGCTGCTTGTCCTGGCAGCAGCTGGCTGTGACTCCTTCTGCCTTTCTATTCTTTCTTTTCTCCTCTCTGTTAGTCCTGCCTATACTTTCTGCCTAGCCACTGGCAAACAGTATTTTATTTATTGACCAATCAGAGCAACACATTTGCCATACAGAACATCCCACAGCACCCCCCCCCTTTTTTTTTTTTCAAAAAGGAAGGTTTTAACCTTAACAAAGTAAAATTACATATAATTTGGGAATTTGGGCATAGTTTCTCTTACTACTCCTGCTGGAGGGGGG